TATTACATCCTGGCAAGGTGGTGTTTATCCCAGGAATGCAAGCTTTGTTTAACATCTAAAAATCAGTATGGTGAGTAATTCACCATACTAATGGAATAAAGGATAAGTACCGAATAATCATTTCATTAGATGTAGAAAATGCATGTGACAAAATTTAACACTCATTTATGATAAAGACTCAGGCAACCAGAAGTAGAAGGTAACTTCTAAAACCTAAGAAAGGACATGTATGAAATACTACATCGTACTCAGTGGTGAACAAGTGCTTTACCTCTAATATCAGGAACAAGGCAAGGCTTTCACTACTTTTTTTTTTTTTCTTCCAACATTCTATGGGAGGTCCTAGATATTGGAATAAGGGAAGAGCAATAGGTAAAAGACATATGGATCAGAAAGAAAGAAAACTATATTTGCAGAGAACTTAATCGTGCATGTAAAAATTTGTAAGAAATCTACAAAAATGTACTAGAACTAAAAAGTGAATTTAGCAAGATTACAGGATACATGGGTCAGTATACAAAAAATCAATTTTATTTCTCTGTATTAGTAATGAATAATTGGAAAGTGAAATTTAAAAACAACTCAATAGCAACAAAATTAAAATATTTAAGAGTAAATTTAGTGAAAAATAAGACTTGTCGCTGAAAACTACAAAACATTGCTAAGGGAAATTAAAGATCTAAATAAACAGATATTCCATATTCATGGTTTGGAAGAATTAGTATCATTTAGGTCAATTTAGGGAGATTACTATCTTTAGAGCCAATGGCTTGCCATTCAGGAATTGAGCAGGCTTGCTTGAAGAAATTGACAAGCCAGTTCTAAAATTTGTTATCCAAAACAATTTTTTAAAAGTTTGGAGGACTTATACTACTTTCGATCAAACTTCCTGTAAAGCTACAATAGTCAATATAGTCTGATGTTGGTATATAACTAGATTTTTAGATCAATAGAACAGAACAGAGTTCAGAAATAGATACACATTTATATGGTAAACTGATTTTTTGACAGAAGCATCAGAGTAAACTATTGGGGAAAGAATAATCTTTTCAATAAATCGTGCTGAAACAGCTAAATATCTATATGGAAAATACTGAACCTTGACCTTGCTCTTTACCATATGCAAAAATTAACTACCAATGGATTTTTGACCTAAACATAAGATCTAAAAGTGTAAAACTTCTAGAAGAAAACATGGAGAATTTTTGTGGCAAAGATTTCTTAAACTGGACACAAAAAGCACAGACCATAAAAGAAAAAGATAATAATGGACCTCATCAAAATTTAAAAAAAACTTTTGCTCTTCACAAAACGTAGTTTAGGAAATGGAAAGATAAGTCACAGACTAAGAGAAAATATTTGTAAAACATTGACAAAGGGATTGTATCCAAACTATATAAAGAATTCTTACAATTCAATAATGAGATAAATAACCTAATAAAAATGGGTAAAAGATTTGAACAGGCACCTCAAAAGAAAATACATGAATACACCCAAAGCTACTAGTCATCTGGGAAATTTAAATTAACACCACAATTAGCTACTGCTTCATACTCTCTGTTGTTAGTTGAGTTCCAATTTGCAGCAACCCCATGTGTGCAGAGTAGAATTGCTCCATAGGGTTTTCAGTGTGTGACCTTTTGGAAGCAGATCACCAGGCCTGTCTTCAGAAGTGCCTCTGGGTGGGTTCGAACTGCCAACCTTTTGGCTAGTAGTTGAGTGCTTAAATGTGCCATTCAAGGACTCCTCACACACTCTAGAATGGGTGAAATTAAAATTACTGATGTCAAGTATTGACGAAAGTGTGGACCAACTGGAACTCTCAAAAATTACCTGTGGGAATGTAAAATGGTACAACCACTTAGGAAAACAGTTTGGCAGTTTCTGATAAAGTTAAACATACATTTAACATGACTGAGAAATTCTCTTCTAGATATTTACACATAGAATGTTTATAGTAGTAATATTTAGAACAGCTTCAAACTGGAAATAACCCAAATCTGGTGATGAATTGATTAAAAAAAATATATATATATATATATATATATATATATATATGTATGTATCCATATTATGGAATAAACCTGTTGCCATCAAGTTGATTCTGACTCATAGCGACCCTATAGGACAGAGTAGAACTGCCCCATAGGGTTTCCAGGGAGCGCCTGGTATTGTGGAATACTATGCAGCAATACAAGGGAACAAACTATTGATAAAACAGTACAGATGAATTTCAGAAACACCATGCAGAGTGAAATAAATCAAACACAAAAGTCTATATACGATATGATTCCATTTACATGAAATCCTGGAAAAGGTCATTGAGTCAGTAGTTGTCTGGGACCCAGAACTGGGACAAGAAATTGTAAAGATGAAGGAAGGAACTTTTTGAGATAATGGAAATGTTCTTTGTCTTGATGGTGGTGGTAGTGGTTACGTTATTGCATACAACTGTGAAAGATCATCAACCTACACACTTAAAATGGGTGAATTTTATCATAGCTTACAAAAGCTGTTTTAAAAAACAAACCATATTCATAAGGAATTTTTTAAATTATATATATATGTATTTAAATTTTTCAGTAGATCTAAATAGATGTGTTGAAAAAAGCTTGCTAAAGAGACAAAGGAATGGTGCTGGCAGGGCTGCTGTTTTAGACGAAGTGTTCAGAGGAGGCATTTCTAATGAAGGGACGTTTGAGCAGACACGTGAAGTGAGTTGAGTTTAGTCAGAAGTCTTTGTATCTGCCTTGCTTATGTCTTACTAAGTTTATGTCTAGGTGTTTTGTAGTTTCCGTTACTATTACAAATGGAATCTTTTTTGTATTGCATTATCTAACAATAATCCTTAAATTAATTTTTGTTTGCATCTTCATTTGCTTCATATCTTCCATTTTGTTGTCAGTTCCTGTGGACAGTAACTATACGAGTCTTCTGCTTTGTGACCCTACAGCTCTTCATTCTGTGCTGTTCCCAGCGTCTGCTCAGTTAATGCATTCTGAGCGGTTTTTACGGAGACTAAGCAGGTCATTGCTGTATTTGACGAGCTGCATTTTTTCTAGCTCAGTATATATAGCCCCAAAATGTAAGGAGAACCTAACAAAAGACCTAAGGTGGAAAATCAAAGATGAAAGTGCAATTTCACATAACATAGTTTTAATTTTACTGCCAAATAGAGCAGGTATAGGATGCAACTAAGGATGTTGTCTGGCACTTTAAAGGCACTCCTGGTGGATGAAAGAGGTGGGAGAAGTAGAACAAGGTATTCTTACTTATTAAGAGTGGATGTCTGGAAGCAGTTGACTGGTCAGGTACAGATTAGAAATGGATGTCTTGGCAAGAGTTACTGTTTCGTTTGAATAGGAGGAGTGTTTCAGATTTTATGCCTGTCTTCACTTAGTCTGCTTTAGATAAGCAAGGTGTCTGAAACATATTTGAGTGACTTGAGGGCTGAGCATCATTTATCAAAATGGAAACATTAGTAACTCATGTTCATTCCTTACCAGTAGATGGCAGCAAAATGCTTTATTAAAATGTTCTTGCCTTCATTTTTTAAGTCACATAGTAAATAGGTACTGTGTGTATATATGTATGTGTCTGTGTGTGTGTAAATTTATTTAAAGACCAAGACAGATATGATACCTTCATTTTCTTTAAATGGATAAAATTAATATTACTGTTGTGTACTGTCATTTGATACTGAATGTTTTTTAGAAATTCAACTGATACAGCCTACCTAAAAATGTTACTTTTTATAGATTTTGTTAGCAACTGCCACTTAACTGAAATTTTCACTCTCTATAAGTATTAATATTTTACATATAGTTTTCTTCCTCATAAATTTTTCCAAGAATCCAGCAGTCATAACGTGTTCTAGAACTAAATAACATTTTACTAAACACTTTAGTGTTTAATTACATAATTTTGAAGGGTTTTTTTTTTTTTGGAAAATATTCGTAAATTTTTGTTTCATGAACAAACCACCACAAAGGAAACATTTTGATCCTAGGTGGTAAGGTCTGGCCGATGTGTCTTCCGTATCAAATTGCTGGCTTCCAGGGAGTGACCTACATAGAATGGGGAGAGTGGTTCTTGACCCGGTTCCGCCCACTGCCCTCAGAACACCAGTGGGATGAGAGCTGCAAAAGAACTGACAACTGGCTTAAGGAAAGGTCTGGGGCCAGGTGATAAAAATCTAACTTGAAGAGTCACGTAGCAGATAAATCATTGTAGTTTCTTTTTCTTTTTCTCCCCCAGAAATCAGTTAATTTAGGAGAGGTTTTTGGAACTGTTTTAGAAAGTAATATTTATACAATGCTGAGGTTTCTCCCAAGTTTTCGCACAGTGTGCTGCTTAATTCTTATAAATTCCAAAGTGCTTGTAAAACTTATAATTCAGAATAGACTTTTGTCTTATGAAAACATGCTTTATCAAGATCACTTAGCATACATCTTACATGCCCTGGAATTTTTACAGACCACAGAAAAACTTTTTTTTTCTTTTTTTTTTTACCTAGTACACCCTAAAAGGACACAGTCTGCCAGACCACAGGACATCCGTAATTTAGCGCAGCAGATGTTGCTACACATGCTTCTCTTTAAGACCAAGAAGCAGCACAAGAGAAAATAAAACCAAAAGTTCAAAACAAAAGAGAAACGTGAAACGATACAGAGATGAGGGAGTCGAGTAGCCAGAAGCCATTGGTTGAATTAGCAGAGAGGGAGGATGTGTCCATCAGAACTGTATGTTTTGTATACATCTTTGTAAACACTTTGCAAGTCTTTCTCATTCTACTACCTCAGGCTTGTTAACTTTCTACTAAAGTCAAATTTATTTTCCATTAAAACTAGATTTCAATTAAGCTGAAGCAAGAATACTTTATGTCCCCTGTAATGTTTGGTCATTTCAAGTTTTGTATGAGAATCGGCTACAACGTGCTGTGCCATGTTTGTGTTTTGTTGTAGAGTCGGCTAATGTTTTTGTCTTGGTTTTAACTCTAGCTGATCCCACAGTGAAGGACTTAATCGGAGGCTTCACTGCTCTTCATTATGCAGCCATGCATGGCCGGGCCCGGATTGCACGTTTGATGTTAGAGTCTGAGTACAGGAGTGACATCATTAATGCCAAAAGCAATGATGGCTGGACTCCCCTCCACGTGGCTGCTCACTACGGAAGGGACTCGTTCGTCCGGCTCCTACTGGAGTTTAAGGCCGAGGTCGACCCGCTCAGTGATAAAGGTACAACACCGCTTCAGCTAGCCATTATCCGAGAGAGGTCAAGCTGTGTGAAAATCCTGCTGGACCACAATGCCAACATCGACATTCAGAACGGTTTCCTGTTACGTTATGCGGTGATCAAAAGCAATCACTCTTACTGCCGAATGTTCCTTCAGAGAGGAGCAGACACCAACTTGGGGCGCTTGGAAGATGGACAGACTCCTTTACACTTGTCTGCCCTTAGGGATGATGTGCTTTGTGCACGGATGTTATATAATTATGGAGCGGACACGAACACAAGGAACTATGAAGGACAGACACCACTGGCTGTTTCAATAAGTATTTCTGGAAGTAGTCGACCGTGTTTGGATTTCTTACAAGAAGTAACAAGTATGTAATATAATTATAACTATTATTGCATCTTTTTTTTTTTTAATTAAATGGTAATCATTCATATAAGCCTGCATGGTAAGTAATATGTCATTCATCTGAATAAACAGAAAGTTGTAGTATATCACAAAATTTCATAAAAAATCAGTTGTGTTACTAAAAGAAGTAGGGACAGACAGTAAGGGTGAGAGAAGAAGTGGAGAAAAGGACAGAAAGAGGAAAAGTTTTTAAATTAATAGAGATCTTGTTAGAAGGTGGCAGTTCCTACTGATCATAAAGATAGAATAGTGTTTCCAGACTTACATGGACTTTATATTGAGGAATTAGAAGGAGAGATTTGGGATATAAATTCTTTAACTCTGGAAATGTTCTAGAATTTGTGCTTTATTGTGAAGCTGTTGTTCACATTTTATTTTGACTGTTCTGCTTCATTATGATGTGAACACACGTGAAATGGAACAGCAGTGTTCTTTACGTAAGTGTCCTAGTGATGGAGGTTAAAGATCCTAGAAACTGTTAAGAAAAGATTTGCTCTCAGTGGAAATGTAGGCGCTGCTGTCTCTGGGCCATAGGGCTTCCTCGTATCAGACCTGTTTTTGTGTGGGCTCTTTTTTTTTTGAGTCTGGAAGTGTCTGACACACCTTGTGCAGTAGTGCCTGTGTTGGAGCTGTTTTTCTGATAGGGTTGGTTCGTTTTTATGGACATAGCTGTCCTCTTGTGTCGGCGTTCCTTATGACCAGTCAGTTATGTGTTCCAGAGCTTAATGTCCCACATATCTATAAAAATGTTTGATTCTGCTTTTCTGTGCTTTCTGATGAATTCCTTTTTGCTCACCTGACCTTTAACTTTTGATCATTATTATAAAAGAAGAAATAGTAACATTCTAGATACCAGGTAGCTGGGGCCTGAGGGATTTACCTGACCTGCTTGTAAATAATCCACTCTATCCCCTGGAACTGAATTTTGGAGTAAAAATTTGCTTCATAAAGAAATGAAATATAATTTGAATTTTATGTATTCATATGCGGAAGAGATGGAATTATTACTATGAAATGTATTCAGACTAAAGCATAAAAAGAAATGATGCTCACGGTCGAACTCACTGCTGTCCAGTAGAACTTTCTATGGTGATAGAAATGGTCTCTCCACACACTCCAATATGGGAGCCAGTAGCTCAGCGTGGCTGTCGAGCACTTGATATGTGGCCCATACATCCAAGGAATGGAATTTTTAATTTTACTTAGTTGTAATCAATATAAAGTTAAATAACCACAGGTGATTAGTAATTTCCATATTGGATAGCAGCGCACGTCTTTCTGTCTTGGGCAGTCTGGTGGGTGGTCTCTTGCAGAAAGCTTTTGACCCACGCAGAAGTAGCCACAGATGGCAGGATGTTGTGTATGTGGTGCAGCGTCTGCTGGGCCTGCACAAGCCTGCCGTGACTCAGATCTAGGCGCATATTAGGAAAAGATTTGGAGTGAAATTGCAGATGTAGCACATTTTCTAGCAGTCTTTATTGATTGCATTGGTAGGGATGTTGGTGTTGTGAAAGATAAGATTACTCTTGAACTTGAGACTAGGATTTGGTCATGGCATATATCCTATAAAGTATATTTTATTCTTAATAAATTCTGGACATCTTGTGTTAATCTTTGGACTTCTACACTAGAGACTCCTGGTTAAATAAGTGTGGCCACCTTCAGGGAGGCATGTTACATGCATAAGTGTCTTGGCCCCCTTTTGATAAATATTTTCTTCAGTAGTAAACGGCATGGACTAGAGCTGTGTTGCCCAAGTTGAAATACTATATCATGTACTATCTGCGACCTTGAGCAGGTAACCTAACCTCTCTGTGCCTCAGCATCTTCACCTTAAAATTAGGAAAATAATAATGTCTATCTATAGGCTCGTTATGAGGATTAGATGAGTTAATATTTATAACGCACTTAGAACACTGACACATTTTAAGTGCTGTGTAAATGTTTCTTAAAATAAAATATTTTACTACTAAAATGAGTGTGAACAGCAAGGGCTGCCATACTCCCAGCAGAGCGAATCTTTCAGACTCTTATTCCACCCAAGACTCATATTTTCCATCCTGTAGACATTTTCCAGAGCCTGCAGTATGGAGACACAGGGCCAGTTGGATGGGAGGAGCCGCCGGATGTGTTCACGTTGGCAGGGCCCCTCTTATCCCTGAGCCGTCAGAGCAGCTGAGTTCTTCCACAGCAGTGTTGCTGGAGAGCTGGAATGTTGAGTTAAAAGGAGCTCACGTGTTCCCTGTAAATTAGGGGCAGATAGAATATTCGACAGGGTGGCCTCTTTGTATTTGTGTTCTCCGCTGCACACAGAGAAGAGCCTGGCACCTAGGAGGTCCTCAGTAAATGGTAGTCTGTTGGTTGACTGCACACACAAAGGATGGTGACTGAGTAAACACTTTTCAGAAGTGAGGGGCCATCTGTCTTTTTAAGGCTGAGGTTATCCTTCAAGTGCCTCAACATAATCCATTACTTCTGGACTCTAATGTCATTTCCTGCCAAAAGCAAATTGAGTGTTTCTGCTTTACCTGTGTATTATTTGGCTTGTAGGTTTTTTTGCCTAGTGAAGAATGATTATGTGTTAGAAGGACCAGCCATAGCTGATGCTCTCCACTGAGCTCTCTATGGAATACCGGGGTGAAAGAAAGTCAGGTAGATCAGGAAGCCTCAAATCCAGTCTGTAAGCTCCTTCTAGCCTCCAATGCAGCCGAACACAACAGCTCCGTTATAAACTGGTTTATAACCTGAGAACTCAGGCTCCTGAGGGGTAAGGACAGCAGAGTTGCCTCTTGGTGGTCTTAATTCAGGACCACTTTACTGTTCATTGCACCATTTTGAGTAGAAACCTATTGTTTAGATTGGAAGAGACCAAGAAAACCATAATCTTGGAATTTAAAAACTGCTAAGGCCCTTTGCAAAACATGCCATAAAAACTCTGAAGGTGGGTATCTCAGAGGAGGTGGCACTGATACACACTGCATACAAACAGAGCAAGATCAAATGTCTTAGTAATAAAGTCATGTTTTATTGGTGCCTTGTGGATTAACGAGCGGCAGGAGAAGCCACCGAGAGCTGCTGTTACCGTTCCCTACAGCCGGACTGAGCTTCCAACATTCAGATTTCTGAAAACCTCCACCTTCTAGAATGGCTTGAACTCAACGTAGCCTCCTCCAGAATGCCAGTGAGTGAAGGAGCAGCTTCTCTAGTGTCCAGGAACAATAAGCACAGCTAAGAAGAGCCAGAAATCATACTTGAATAAGGAAGATCACCTTGCAGAAGGAAAGATGTTTTCTGATTGGTTGGCAGTGTTTATGAGGCTAGTTTTTTGTTTTCTGTGTTTTTCTGCTTGAAAACAAAAAATAAAAGTAGAACAAATAAATTTGAAGGAAAACAGAACAGTGGAAGGGTGACCAGTCACAGGTAGAAGTGCTGAGGAGGACAGAGGGCAGCATTCATTGCGATGGAGGACTGTGGGGGCTGAGGCTCCTGGGCTTAGGAGATAAACAGCCCTTCACACCAGGGCCAGGACTAGGGAAAGGAAGTGAAGTGCCTCGGGTGCAAATTTGAAAGAGGCGCTGACTCTTGGGCTGTGCAGCTGCCAATGCCGCACTCGCACAGCCCTGAGAATGAGTGCGTCCTTCAGTTTTGCCCCCTAGATACCTCACTTGCCTCATTCTAGTTCTGGCCCTGCCCTGCACTTCGTTGCCATAATTAGTATGAAGGCATCATTGTGCACATCTGAATTCAAACCAGACTAATACATTTTAGCATTTTTGTGCATCACTATATTCACACACACCCCCGCCCCAGCTATTTAAGAGTAGAATAACTTGTTAGAATAGTGTTTGCACAAACACAACAAAGCTAAGAGTATCACGGAAGCTCTGCCTTATGAGATGACTTAAAATTCTCCACCCAGAGGTAAAGAGAAGAAGATTATAGGAATGTTTGCTCAGTTCAAAAGAGAAAATTAATATTTGTGCACAAGAAATGGGCAAGCACAAGAAAATGTTGTTAAAAAGATACAACATCATAACTTCATGAAAGAGTATTTCAGAATTAAAGCTTAACCCAAGGATGTGGTTAGAGAATAATAGAACTCACCCTGCAGAATTGGATTATTAGTGATTTTTTTCATCATCTCCCTGCCCCACAAAATAAACTCTCCTAGTCAATGTATGGACCAAGGTTATTCAGAATATTAGATCTTTTTTAAGACAGAGAAATTCCATGAGAAAGCTGCACCACCAGGCAGTGACTTGCAATAACTTTTATTTAAAAAAAGAAAAAAGGTGGAATGTGAATGATTTGGGTGCTGAGGTCAGCTTTATAAACACAGGAAAGCTACTTACCTCATGGCTCTGAGGTTTCTCTTCTGAAAAACGGAGGAACTGCTCGGTAGCCTCTGAGGATGAGGCTTTCCTTTGGAAAATTTTTGCCGGGAACTACTCTTAAAGGGGGTGATTTCCCGCCGCGTGTGGGATTTTTTTCTTTTCTTTTTAATTCATGTAAAATACTGCTTTTCAAAGTGTAGATCCCTTCCTTTTCCAGCTGCATATCTGAGTGAGGGTAGCCCTAGTCAGGTACTTCTGTCAAGACAGTATTGCGTGTTGCAGCAGATGGAAGGCAGAGGCAGCTCTGTGTGTTCAGTGAAGCTAGACATTAAAGAGACTTGCAGAACAGTAAAACAGCACCACTCTTCTCACAGAATCTCTTTTGTTTTGGAGAACAGTTTCCTTTTTCTTTTTCCCATCAAAATGTGGGATTTCAACTGAGTGAATTTTTATTATCAGTTTTAATTAATAATTTTTTTTAATTTTTCAATTTTACTTTCTAAATATGGTTTAAAAAAGGGTAGATATAACCCATATAAACAAAAAATTCTCTTAGGTCCTCCAGTTTTAAGAGTGTACCTAAGTGGCTCTTAAAACTAAAAACTTGAGACCTACTGATATACAATTC